AGAGCAGATGTCTCAGAGCTCCTGGGCTCCCGAGCATCTCAGCATCTCCACCCCACCTTCCCCACCCCAAGGACCTGAAAAATTTCCTCTGCCCCCCACCCTGTGGCTTTCCCTCAGGCTTTCCAAACTGCCACAGCAAGAGGAGGGTGGCTTTCAGCTCTGAGGTACAGCAGGATTTTGGGAAGAGCTGGAGGAGGGCCACCAAGCACAAGCTTCAGCAGCCAGGGCCTTGGTGTATAGAGGAAAATTGTCTCCCTGGTGGTTTTTTTTTCATGCATCTTCATTGCACTGTGGTCTTAATGTTGAGGTGCAGCCTTAAGACCCCACCACCCCTCCCACAGGGAGACTGGTGGAGGCTGGAGGTGAATTCCCACCCAGTCCTGCCTTATGCCTCCAGCTTATACACGTCCTGTAAAGTACCTACAGCCTCATTTATGAAGAACCCTATGGAGGAAGAGGGTCTTGCTCCCTCCCATCCCACACTGCTCCCCCAGAAAAAGGCCTTTGCCATCCCATTTTCATTATTGAGGGTTGAGGGCTTGGTGCCCTGGTCTCAGAGCAGTGATAGGCTGCTGGTTGGAGGTGTGATACTGGAGCTGGTGGCCCACCAGTGCCTCCAAGGCAGAGGTTCATGGGTGGGAGAACCCCTCAAACACCATTGCTTGGTGACAACTTGTGACTGGGGATAGCAAGATCATCAGGTCCAACCATCTAACCCAACCCTACCAAGTCCACTGCTAAGCTGTGTCCCTCAGCTGTTTTTTAAACACTTTGATGATGGGCTCCTCACCATCATCAGAGCCATCCAGCATTGCCTGCGCTCTTCAGTGGAGCTGTCTCCTATTGAAGGATGAAAAAACAACCCAAGATGGTGAAAATGATTTGCTGGAGGCTGTGCAGGAAGCTGTCAGACCAAGGACTCATTTTCAGGTCCTCCTGTGCCACCCTCTCCTTGACTCCTCCACCGTTTCTGCCTCTCCTTGGGCTCTCACTTGGTGTTTTCTTCCCACTGTTGCCAACGTGGAGAAAAACCCTTTCAGAGTCCATTCCTCTGTCACGCTCCCTCCAAGGAGCCCTGATCCCATGTAAAGTTTTCCACAGCTGAACTCTTTCTTTCCTGAACCTCCTTAATCACTTCTTCATCCAGTTCCATCTTGAAGAAATTAAGTGCAAGTGAATTTGCCTCGCAGGAGATTAAGTGTCCCATTGATTGAAAAATCCTGTGAAAAGCATTGTTGCTCCTCCACTCCTCCCTAATCCCTGCATTCCCAGGTCACCAGCTAGACATACCTTGATTTCTTTCCATTGAATCAAAATATCTCCAGGCTTAAAATGAGCTTTGCAACCTCTCTGCAAGGCACCCGGGGAGCTGGCTGTGCCAAGAGGGGTTATTCCTTGGAAAAAGGAAGAATTTGCTGGATGTAAAAAGGCTGGGGGGGGGGTGTCTGGGATGTGGGATCATCATGAGTATGGGGTGAGGAGTTGAGCTACGTCCAGGGAAAGGTGGTGGTAAATTCATCTTTCTCCAGCTCTGGCAGGAGAAACCAGCAGCACTTTAGGGACAATAGGCAGGAGTTGAAAATCTTTGCATTAGGAAAGAATAAAATGAAGATAAAGAAAGAAAGGAATGGCCCAGGACTGTCAGAGGTGGTTTGATGGTGGTGGCACGTTCCTCCAGGAAGGGTTGTTGGGGATGAGCACATCCCTTCAGAGCAGGAGCCTCTAGGGACACCCAAACAGCCCCAAAATGGTCATCATGGAATCACAGAACTGTTTAGGTTGGAAAAGACCTTTCAAGAGTCTCCACTCCCCTCGTTGCACAGGCAGAGCTGAGGCTCCTTGGGTATCTCCACCAAGAGCTTGATTTTCCTGGGGTTTGGTTGATTGTTTTCCAGGATGCAGGTTAAAAATATATCCTCAGCCATGTTGCTCTGAGCAGCTTGTGCTTTTCACATGGAATCCCTTTTTTTTTTTGGTGGCTTTTGTTTTCCCCATAAGGAGCACATGAAAAGGAAGGCGAGGGCGGGCTTGTTTGGGTCTTCTTTTCTTTTAAAGCTTCATTTTTTAGCCAAGTTGTGACACAAGGGCCTGTCACTTGGCTCTCTGCAGAGGGCTTTGCTTGTTGAACATCAATCCATGGCTGGGGAGGGGATTGGAACTCTCCCAGTAGCATGAAATGGGGAGATTTGGGGTGCATGGGGAGGGGGAGAGCTGGGGTGGAGCAGGGGGTGGTTCCTTAGGGATGCTCCAGATGGATTTGGGTGATTTGAGTGACTTGATGGACTTTTTTTTATGAAGGAAACAAAAATACCACATTTAGAGCACAGGTTTACAAACCACAAAGTAAACTAAGAGGTTTGGAAGCCATCTGGGAGCTGAGCAGCATCTCTGACAGCTGACTTTGGGGAACACTTACAGCATCCCTGCCACCAGCTCCTTCCCAACAGCTGGAAAAGTCTTTTCCCCAGCTGCCAAATTGCCATAAAAATTTGACAGCTTGGGCTAATGGATCATTAAAATTTAACCAAAAAGGGAAAACAATGCTGTTGTCTTTGGGAGAGCTAAATTCTGCTTTCCTGAGCTTCACCACCCCTCTGCATTCATGGCAGTGACTAAATCTTTGGGCTTTGGTTGAGCTTCCAGCCCTGACGTAGGGCTGGGGAAGCAGGGAAGGGGTGGCTTGGTCTCCTCCTCATCCCACAGTTGAAAGAGGCCCTTTGACCTAATAACAGGTGATTTTTGGGAGTGTTTAGTGTGATAATATTAATATATGAAGATTAATTCATGGGAAAGTCCCAGGCAGGATCTCCTGGGGAGGGGGAAGGATGGACACGTTAAGGTGGAGTTGCTCTGAGAAGTTCACATTTAATCCTCTTCCTGTTAAATTTTGGGGGATTTAAGAATGAAAAAATGACAACATCACCTTCTGAGGTGTCTCAACCTTTTTGCCTTTTCATCTTTAAGGTCTTTTCCTCTCCCCTCCCCACACCTTTTCACAACATTTCCCATCCTCCACCTTTCCCCTTTCTCTCATCGTGAGCCTCGATGGCAGAGGGAAAGAAGCAAACTCCTTACACAGGTCAGGGAGAAGGTACCAGACTTCCCAGAGCTTCTGGATGCTCCTGAGCACAGCTCCAGATGGTTATTATTTCCCCCCAATTAATCTCCTCGTTAGCAGCAAAGCTGTGAGACAGGAAGTGTTTCCCTGAGAATCCTTAAAGGCTGCTTAGATTTTGGAGCTTTTCATTTGGTGAGCAATCCCATTTTATAGTGAAGGCCTAAAAGAATGAGTGTTTAGTGTCTTTGTAGAAGCAGCATTAAAAAAAAAAGGCCCATTTCTGGTCTAACAGGGAACATCTGTGCTGGGGATGGTCCCTTTGCCAGCTGCTGGTAGTGCAGAACAAGAGGAATCCTGTTTATCTGGTGATCCAGAGAGCTCCTGTTTATCTGGTGATCTGGGCTGGCCTGGTTCTGTCCAACGATGGGATTTGGAAAGCAAAAAACAAAAAAAAAAAGCAGTGGAACAGATTTATTTTGGGCTAATAAATGGAGAGCAGAAGATGCCAGTAATTGGTGGTTCGGAGGAGTTTTTTGAGCTAGCCTGGAAGGAATGGTCAAATTCCTCAAGTCCTGCTCTTCTCCTCTTTTGGTTTGCTTGTTCTGTACTATTCTGGTCAAGACCACAAGAAAAAAGTGAGAAAAAAATGCTCGTGATGTCTCAGACATATCCTGACTAGTGGCCTGCACCCTTGGTTGGGTGCATGTGATGTATCAGCTCCTCCTGTTTTAAAGAGCAGCCAGATGCCCAGTGTGCCCACCCACGGCTCAGCTGGGGCTGCCAACCTCCCACCCCAGGCTGCTCGTGAGGGGACAACCCCAGGATGCAGCAGAACCCCTGGAAATTCACTTTTTCAGGTGGTCGCTGCCCCATCCCAGGTGAGGTTGGACCAAGCTCTGAGCACCCTGCTCTAGCTGCAGATGTCCCTGCTCCCTGCAGGGGGGTGGGACTGGGTGACCTGGAAAGGTCCCTTCCCACCCAAACCAGCCTGGGATTCTATGCCAGCTCCTTCCTATCCCTTTGGGCACTGCTAGGCAGGACACCTTCCTACACATTCATGTCCTGAAGACACTCCTGGCATGAAGAGGTTCCTGCCTTGAGCAGCAGTGAGAAGGGACACCCCCATTCCCAGCTCCCTGGGGCCACCTCTGCCCACCATGGGACCTCACATGGATTCTGCAGGTCCTGATGCCAACATCAAGCCATGAGCCAAGGTGGTGATGGGGGTGCCCTGCTTCCCCCCATGCCATCAGATGGTTTTGGAGACCTCACCGGCTGCCAGGCATTCCTTCCCCCTCCTTGTATCTGATGGGCATTAATTCCAAAGAGCAGTGAGTCCTCCCCCCTGGCTGATTGCTCCCTGCTGTCCTGGGAGGGGGAAGCTGAAATAGAGCTGCTGCTGGGTCAGGTCAGGGAGCAGAGTTGTCCCTTAGCAAAGGTCCTCTCCTGGCACCTCCTGATCCACATACTGGGAGCTTGGGATTGTTCTACTCCCCTCTGGAGGTGGCTGTGTCTCCCAAAGAACTCCAGAATGGTGGGGTTGGGAGGGACCTCTGGAGATCATCTCAGCTCACCCACAGCAGGGTGCCCAGGGTCACAGCCAGGGGGGTTTGGGATCTCTCCAGAGCAGGAGACTCCACAGCCTCTCTGGGCAGCTGCTCCAGGCTCGGCCACCCTCACACCAAAGAAGTTTCTCCTCCTGCTCAGGTGGCACCTCCTGGGTTCCAGTTGGTGCCCGTTGCCCCTTGTCCTGTCACTGGGCACCACTGACCAGAGTCTGGCCCCAGCCTCTTGCCCCCCAGGGCCCTTTAGCTCTTGCTCAGCACTGCTCAGATCCCCTCTGAGGCTTCTCTTCTGCAGCTGCACAGCCCCAGGGCTCTCAGCCTGGCCTGGCACAGAGATGCTCCAGCCCCTGGGCACTAACAGCCCCTTTCTCCTGCAGGCTGGTGGTGGGAGCTCCCTACGAAACCAACGGCCAGCAGAAGACAGGAGATGTCTACAAGTGCCCCCTGAGCAGCGACAGCCACAGCAACTGCACCAAACTCAACCTAGGTACCACCCACCCCCGGGGGCACGAGGGCACCTGGGTGGCTTTAGCAGGGTGCTTTCTATCCCTGCTGTGGGCTGTAAAGGTGCCCCTGCTGGGGGTTCCCCGGGGGGTCCCCAAAAGCACGAGGACTGCCTGTTTGAGGAGGGTTTTTAGAGAAAGAATGACTTCAGGTGTTCCTGTTCCTCCAGGTGTTGAGTTTTAAGCCACGTCAGGGTGAAATCAAGCAAATTGGAATAAATTTAAGAGATATTTGTTTAATATAGCTTAAGCTAGTTTATTAAATGACCAGGCTCAATTTATCAATGGATAATGGTCCCACTAATAAATACCTGACTGCACATGGTGGGTTCTGCTCTCTGGGGGTGCTTGGACAACTTCCCCCCCACAGGAAGTTCCCTGGACCCAGACAAGTTTTGCTCCCACCATCCAACCTGTCCCCATGGCCTCAGTATTTGGGGAATTATCACCCAGCCCCCCTAGGCCCCATCTCTGCTCTCCCAGGGGGACAGACCCCAGGGGATGACATGGGGACACGTCCCCAGAGCAGGACACCCAACGGCCACGTCCCTCTCTCAGCAGGGGATGGGAGAGCTGAGGGTTTTCTCATGGTCCCCAGGAGCAGCACTGGGGTTTGGGGGCAAAGTCTGGGAATTTTTAACACTGGAGCAGCTGTTGTCACTTTATTTTTCATCATTATCAATCCTGGGTTTCTACCAGAGCTGATAAGAGAGGAGAAATTTTGGATCAACTGCAGTATTTGATTGATTGCCTCCAAATATTTGATTTTTTTAAAAAATTGTGGGTTTTTTTTTTTTCAAGCCTTTTTGTTTTTCATTTGCTGTGAGAACACTGAGATTCTTCTAAGGAAATAAATCTCTTTTGTGTGTAAATATGAAAAAAAAAAAATCCATCTTTTTTTTCCATTGGAAACAAGCTCCCAATGAAAAGATCAGTTCATCCCATTGGATTTTTTCCCCTAATTAACTTGTCCAGTTAGCACAATCCACCGAGGCCCTTTGAGGAAAACCAGACGTGGAGCTGCCATGGGGGGGGGATGCCAAGCTGGCAGCAGGAGATGACCATGGCATGGAGAAGGAGGAGCTGAGGTGGGCCCAGGGCTCTGCCCCTGCCCTCCCCATGCCCAGTGAGCAGCAGGGACAGGAGCTGCTGGTGCCAGAGCAGCCCAGGGGGGTGTCAGCAGCTGCACCCAGGATCCTGGGGCATTTAGAGCATGGGCTCAAGCCCCTTTTTCTCTGATTTTGCTGCAGGCAGCGGGTGGGAGTGAGCTCAGGGTGAGACCCAGGGCCACAAGGATGAAGCAACGCCCCCCAGTTTTACCATTAATTGCCCTATTTCCTCCTTTTCAGGCAAAAGAGCAGATGAGGAGCCCCAAGGGGTGGGGAGCTGGTGGCCCCCTGAAGTGGAGGGGTGGCTGGGCCAGGCAGCAGTTTTGGTTTCACAGGGACTGGGCTGCCCCGGGGCTGTTCCCAGGTTCCGGGCTGGGAGATGGGAAGGGAAAGCAGCAGACAAAGATAAATCAGCCTCTGAACACCCACTGGCACAGCAATAAAGGAGATGCTGGAGCAGCTCAGGGGGGTTCCTTCCTAAAGTCTGACTATGTCAGACTCTCAGCTTCGTTCCCAAGAAGTCATTTCTTGCATCTAAGAAAAAAAAAAAACAATTCTTTATCTGGACAACTGCTGCCAAAATAAAGCACAGAGTGCTGGAGGGCAGGGAGGCAGAGCCAGCTCTCCTCCAGCACTCAGCTGGGGTTCCTCTTGCTCCAGAGCTGCCAGGGGGCACGGGGGGGCAGTGGGGTGGGTGCCCAGCACCCCTGGCCCTGACCACATCCTCTCTTCCCAAGGGCGGGTGACGCTCTCCAACGTCTCCGAGAGGAAGGACAACATGCGCCTCGGCCTCAGCCTGGCCACCAACCCCAAGGACAACAGTTTTCTGGTGAGGAACGAGGGCTTTGGCACAGCTTGGACCCCCAGTAGGGAGGTCTCTGCCTGTGCATCAGTGTGGAAAGGGGTGCAAACCCAGAGGCGTGGACTTAGGTGTGCAAATACACCTCAGTGTGTGCTCACATACGTGCTGTGAGCACCACGGGGCTCAAAAGCCTCCCCTGCCACCATGGGGAAAGGTGCCAAAGGAGAAGACAGCCTTGCAAAGCAGCAATTAAAAATGGGAGTTTGTTATTGAGGGGCTGGAATGTATCCAAAGAAGGGCAATGAAGCTGCTGGGGAAGGGTCTAGAGCCCAAGTGTGGGGAGGAGCAGCTGAGGGAGCTGGGGGTGCTGAGCCTGGAGCAAAGGGTGCTCAGGGGAGACCTTCTGGCTCTCAGGTTTCCCCAGGGGAGGTTGAGGTTGTCCCTGAGGAACAATTTGTTCCCCTGGAGGGTTGCCCAGGGCTGTGCCAGGCTGCCCAGGGCAGTGGTGGAGTCCCCACCCCTGGAGGGGTTTCCAAGCCGTGGAGATGTGGTGTGAGGGACACGGGGCAGTGGGGACCTGGCAGTGCTGGGGGAATGGTTGGACTGGATGACCTTAAAGATCTTTTCCAGCCCAAGTGGTTCTATAATTCTAACCCCCCCCAATGCTTGACTCTCCCCCAGGCCTGCAGCCCTCTCTGGTCCCACGAGTGCGGGAGCTCCTACTACACCACGGGCATGTGCTCCCGGGTCAACTCCAACTTCAGGTTCTCCAAGACGGTGGCTCCAGCTCTGCAGAGTACGAGAAACAATCTGCCCTGCAGCTCTAACCCTGCCTTTGAAGTCAGAGGGAATTTCTGGGCTCTGGTCCCTTCCTCCCATTGAGAAAACAAAGGGATGTCAGTGTGTGAGCAAAGGCAAGGAAGGCAGCAGAGCAATTGCTTGCAGGGAAGTGATTCAAAGGGGGTGACGTGCACAGACATCTGGTAAACGTTTTCCTTTTGACTGACAACCCATGGAAGACAAAAAAAAAACACCTTATCCTTCCCAAAAGCAGAAAGAAAAGCATCCAGAATATTTTATCAGCGTGGCTAGGAAGGCAAAATAGAAAAAAAGAAAGACGTCAGCCCTTGGCCACGCCAAACAAAGAGCTCATTGACTGAAGGCTAAATAGTTTGGCCCAAATTTGTGAATTCGGAGACGTGATTTTTATTCTGAGGTATGAAAGAAGCTTCCTGGCTTTCCTGTGGGTGGGGAGAAATGGCAGAAGCTTGCCCTGCCCCCTTGGGGCTCCCAGAAGCTCCTTCCCCCAGCCTCGGCTCCATCACCCGTGTGGTGTCCATTCATCCTGCCAGCATGGAGCAGAGCATGGAAAAATGGGACTTTTTTGGGGGGCAGAGGCAGTGAAGGCAGAGTCCACCACTGAATTGTTGGTGTCACTTCCCTCTTTAAGGCCAGGAGATGCTCTTAGCCCTCACTGGGAAGAGGAATTGGGGTTTTTTTTAGAGGGAAGGTGGTTCATGAGCAGAAGGTTATCATTTGGTAAGTGGGATGCAGAGGGTCAGCTCCTCTCCCTGCATCCCTGGAGTGATGGGAGGATCACGTTGGTGGCACACAGCTGAGGACCACAGTGGTGGAGAGACCCACGTGTGGCTCCAGCCCAGGGATGTTCTAACCCATAAATGCCCACAGGAGGTGCCAAGGGCAGCAGGTAAATACCTGGCATGGGGAAATTCAGCACCTCCTGGTTTTCTGCAGCTTTCCTAAATAAAAGAGAGATGACCCTGAGCAATCCTCCCTGCTGAAAACCACTCGACTGCTTCAATCCTGGACAGCTCGTCGTGCTGGGCTCAGCCCTGGGGTCCTCGCTGGGGTTTTTTGGCTGCCTCAGCACCGAGGATTTAATGGGAAGGGGAGGAAATGCCCGACTTGGGTCCTGTGGGGAGCAGAGGCAGGGCTGAGCAGTGACTCAGGAGCAAAGCATTGCTCTGCAGGAGGAGCAGGGGCCGGATCCTGCCTGCAGCAGGCCACTCTTTGAAGTATGCAACTCTATAAACCCGGATAAAAGTCCAAATCTGAATCAGAAGAGACACTGCTGGGTGTTATTCTTAGAAAGTTATCCAGTCTTTTCTCAGCAGAGAGGATGCTTGTGGCTTCTCTCTACCTTATTGAAGCCCAAAGCTTTTGATGAATGATTGAAACAGGATATTTTTTTTTTCCCCCTCTTTCAAACAAATCCTCAGAGCAAGTACCTGACTGGAAGGAATGAAGCCATAAATCTGCCCTGTGCAAGCAGTGCCAAGGTCTCTCAATAACACGCTGCCTGTTTTTCACAGGATGCCAGACCTACATGGACATAATCATAGTCCTGGATGGATCAAACAGCATTTATCCTTGGGTTGAAGTTCAGCACTTCCTGATAAACATCTTGAAAAAATTTTATATTGGCCCCGGCCAGATCCAAGTAAGCCCCTGAGCAGCTTGTGCCCCCCCCCCCAGCCGGGCCCCCCCAGCTGAGCCCACGAGGCCCTTTTCCACCTCCCTTCCCTGCCCATCTGCTCTCCTGTGGCCTCACACCTCTTCAAAAGGAGCTTTCAAGGGGTAGATTTTAAAGCCAAGCCCGTGGAAAGGACACTGACATTAATGTTCCTACCTCAGCTCTGGAGGGGGCAACATCCCACCCCCCTCCTGGGCACGGGGAGGGTGAGATCCCCTGGAAACACATCCCAGGTGCCCTGGGGAAAGCATCCTCCTCCTCTGAATCAGCGTGGGCTGATTTGGGCAGGGGTTTGGGTGGGGATATCCTCGACAATCTCCACAAATAAACCCCCCCCCCATCCAGCTCGGTCCCATCTAGAGATGGGGCACAGCACATCTGCATCACCCCCAAATTTTATAGCAGGGCAGAGGTGGCTGCACCTAGGGGAGGGCTGGGAGAGCGTGGAGATGAAATTCAGCATTCCCAGTGGTCCCACAGAGGGAAAAGTGGAGCCAAGGGGGGCAGAGGGATTGATTTTTCCTGGCTGTTATTTGGGCAAAGCGTGTTGGCTGCAGCACGTGCCCTGGTTGGCATCCTTTGTGACCCTCCTTCCATCCCTAGGTGGGAGTTGTTCAGTATGGAGAAGATGTGGTCCATGAGTTCCACCTGAACGACTACAGGTCTGTCAAAGAGGTGGTAGCAGCTGCCAGTCACATCGAGCAGAGAGGAGGCACAGAAACCAGGACTGCCTATGGGATAGAGTTTGCTCGGTAAAAATCACTCACCTCCCCTGGTCCTTCAGATCCCAAGTTTAAAATCCTCCTTTCTTTTTCTTCCCTCTCCCCCCCATCACTTTTCCTCGCTGTTGAGCAAGCAGGGGGTGCCAGCTGGCTGAAAATGCTTTGGCAAAAAGTCTCAGTCCTCAGTTAATGCTGTCCCTGCCCAGTGTTCCTGCTGCAGATTTCACAGAATCGTTGAATGGTTGGGGTGGGAAGGGACCTTTCAAGGTCACCTAGTCCATAGGGACATCCCCAACTAGAGCAGGGTGCTCAGAGCTTGGTCCAACCTCACTTGGGATGGTTCCAGGGATGGGGCAGCGACCACCTCTCTGGGCAGCCCGGGCCAGGC